TTTAATGGTCTCCGAAGTTCATGAAGATGAGTTATCTGAAGATTTTTGAGTGTAAAGTTTAAGAATAGTTGATATAATTATTTGTAAAATACTGTCTGACTGTAATAGTGATTGAATTTGTTTTTCCTGCTTGTTGTTAGGTAATTCAAGAAAATTTGTATGATAAAAACATCAGCATACGATTTTTTTTGATATCTGGCGTTATTTTTTTCTATTTTTTCCTTCTTCTTAGGGCATTCAGATGATATGGATATGTGGTTACCTTTACAGAAAATGCAGATAGCATCTTTTGTTGTTTTTGTGCATTCTTTATAGTGGTGATTGTCACCACAAATTGAGCATTTCTGCGCGCTCTTGCAATATTTGCCTATGTGCCCATAACGAAGGCATCTTAAGCACTGACTCACGGGAGGAATATAGTGGCTTACCTCAAAAAACCAACTATTAATATCTACGCTGTCGGGAAGGGTAGGACAGGAAAATGTAGATAGTCTGGGTGGGGATAAGGACAGGGTTGTCGTCTTCGTCACGCCCACGCCGCATCAGGCGGCGCACGTTTACCACATCCTTGGAGCTGGAAATGCCGGTATATATATAAAATTGGACATATACGTAGGAACTCCACGAATTACTCCAGTGATCTCTGTCAGACTGGCCGGTATATTGCACTTGAGTAGGAACTCTGAAAGGGATTTCGTATTGTTCAAAGCCATGTTGGCTAAGCCTGGTCGTTCAAAAATGGCAGCAACTTTGTATCAATTAATCCGTTTGAATCGTTTTATACCCTTATTATGTCGTTTAAGGACAATATGAGATCTCTATCCCCAATGGGCTTAGATTCTGTCATACTTTCGTAAATGACGAGGTATTCAAAGTTGCCCCCGTCCTCAGGATATTGCCTGCAATAGTTTTCAAATTTTGTAAGGCTTATACTTATCGGTTTCATTTTCGTCTGAATCCGACTCCGAAGGAACCGGATCCCCGTCTAATTTCGGTTTCTTCCTCTTCCCCATTATTAACTACATATAAACTTATTTATTTATATACAAAGGGCTATTTATATTAACTTATAAATTTATTTACAAAAGTTTTTAGGAGTATTCAAAAAACACGCCTGGTCGTCTCAAAGGTTTCCCGCCGTGATAAAAACAATATAACGAAAAGAAAAAGAAATAACTTTTTCACAGATTAGCGATGCGCGCGCATCAACTCTTTTTTTAGGCAAAGAAACAAAAGCCGCCAGTGTTACTAATAAAGTAAATTAATATTTTTGTGAATTTGTTACCGATACATGGTTGTAATTTATTGTCAAAATGAATCAAATTAAAGAATTAAATGTTTATATATTATATTTTATCACCCAAAGTTGATTTTATTAAGAAAATGTTGGGTAACTTTCCGACATAAAAACTCTTTGCTAAGATTTAAAAAAGTATCGTTCGTTTTATGACGGAACATAATAAGCCGTGCGTTTTACTTTACATTACCGCACGCGTGTGTAATGTGATAGATGATATTCAAATTGATGCAATAAGAGTCTCTTTACTATCAAATGTGTTATAATAACTATTAAATCATTTTTGAGTAATAATTTGATGAACGGAAACATTCATCAAATTAGAAAAATATAATTTGATAAACGGAAACATTCATCAAATTACAAAAATATAGTTTTGAATAACTACGTTACTAGTCCAATCTTATTCTTTATATAAAGGCAGGATGAAGTGTCCAATTCATCCTTCCTTGGTTAAACGACAACTTTAGGTTGACATAAAATAGATTGTGTCAATTCTACAAATTAGTCGGCTAATACTGTCAAAGAAGGTTCTTTCAATGTTATCAAAAATTTTGCCTATGTTGTTTCTAAGTAAAAAAACGTAATCTCAAAAGTAGATATGAAAAGAACTCACAAACGTGACTCATTCCATTCGTTCACGAAAACTGTTTGTGGTTCCGCACTTTATGTGCCTGTACGAAAATGAAATAGAGTAGATCAATGGCGAAATTTTGTTTAAAATTCGTTCGTTACCGAAATTTCGTTTCGGAGAAAGAGAGTAAAGCTCCTGTACTTCTTCACTGTAGTCTTTTGCAATGTGTAGGTTTTTATTCCCTCTATGATATTATTCTTTTTTTTTACATTAAATAAGCTTACGATTGACGGCCACGCGCCTGATGTTAAGCGACGTAGCAGCCTAAGGTGGAACGCGCTTGCCTAGAAGAAACCGATTCACTCGCGACTTGAAGAGCCCCAGATCATAGGTGACTGGAAACAGAGATTCCGGCAATGAGTTCCACAACCTTGCTGTTGTGACGAAATAGGTGGAAACAAACCGTTTTTACGAGTTTGCGGGACCTCTACGGTATATCTGTGGCATTTTGCCGTCACTCTGGTAGTTCTTTGGTGAAAAGGTGACTGCTATCGACTGCATACCCAAAGGTACCGGGTTTAAGCAGATCGTTGATATGAAGCAAAAAAAGGGTTGCAGAGAGTACCGCCCCCAGCGGAGCTCCGGCATTAACAGCCTTTCGATTTGATTGGCAGCCATCTATAACTACTCTTATAGACCGATCTCGCAGGAAGTCCAATATCCAGGCGCATAGGCCAGTGGGCAAGCCGTACGAAGGAAATTTGTTTATAAGGCCATCATGCCAAACCCTGTCGAAAGCCTTCTAGATATCGAAAGACACGACCAGCGCTTCTCTGTGCTTCTCAATTGCTTCACCCCAAATGTGTGTGGCGTACACTAAAAGATCCCCAGTGGACCTATTTCGGCGAAATCCGTATTGTCCATCACTGAGGAGGTCATTCGCTTCTAGGTACGCTAGGATCTTGTTGTTTAGAACACCTTCCATGCTCTTACAGAGTAATGAAGTGACTGATATTGGTCTGTTGTTCGTAGGGTCGGCATGACCACCTTTTTTGGGCACCGGTTGCACGTTAGCAAGCTTCCAGGATTTAGGCACTTGTCCAGTTTCCAAGGAGAGCTGGAAGAGGCGTGTCAAAACAGGAGACAATTCAGGTGCACAGGTCTTCAGAACTATTGCAGGAATATCATTAGGGCTACTGTCTTTGTTCTCGTCGAGATTGCGTAGAACTTTACGCACCTTCGCTTGGCGAATGCGCATGTTCGACATCACTGTCGGGCAGCCAAATGATGTGGGAGGTACCGCGCTACCAGCATCAAGACTCGAGGCTTCCGCGAATTGAGAGACAAAAAGATTTGCTTTCTCTTCCGCAGTGTGAGCCAGAGTCCCCCATCAGGCTTCTGCAGTGGAGGCTGTGAGGGACGGCAGAAGTTCGCCTCGACCGATTTTGCCAGGGACCAGAACGCTTTATTAACTGTCGGATGCGATGTAAGTTTGTTCCCAATCCGGCTAATATGGTCAAAGCGAGCCTTCTGTAACACCTTCTTGTAGGAATTGGCAGGCCTGTTATACGATTGTTTTTTTTGGCGTAAATCATTTGCTTTGCGTTGTCGAGCATCGGCCCAGGCCAGATAAGCCACATGTTTTTGCGCTTCAGCACACTGAGGTCCAAACCAGGCGGAGCTTTGCCGGACAGAGGTAAATCCGAGTACGGGATAAAGTACTCCATACCCATTGTGAGAACATCACGGCATCCGCGCAAATTGATGGGTCGCCAGAGGTGAAGCATACAGGTCGCCAAGGGTAGGATGCAAAAAATGAACGCATTCCATCGCAATCAGCTGACTTGTATCGCCACATTCTTCGGGTGCCTCTAGGGCTGGGATCGGGCGGAGAGTAGACAGACACAGATTTCACCAGACAGTTGTCGGACTTACCTAGGGGCGAAGAAACCGACACTGAGTATCGGTCTGGATCTGTTGTCAGCAGAAGACCCAAGCAGTTAGGTGTTTGAGAGTCAATTTCAGGTACCCGTGTAGCTCCTCGGACTAGCTGGGTGAGATTAAACGGTAAAGCGAGCTTTCGCGTTTCTCTTCCGGCATGGACAGTGACCGGGTATGGGAATAGCTACTCCTGATGGTGTGCATTGAAATCCCCCAGGAACACTAGTTGGGCTGTAGGGGTTCCTTTGTTGAACTGAATCCGTCGCCTCACCGAGGTAATCAGTGAGCCTTGTTGTCTCCAAGTCTCCGGTATGCGACCGGTAGACACAGGCATACAGAATCTTTTCTATGCCTATGTCCAACAGTATCTACAGGGCCGAGAATCGGGGCTCTTCAAGATTACGAAGACGCCGATAGCAGATATCGTCCCGGGCGTATAAGCACACTCCACTACGGGGCTTAAAGTTGTGCTCAATATTGTACTCAGGGTACATAAGGTACGCCTGGTCTGACGAGCATCCTATCTGCGTCTCCGTAAGGAAAAAGAGTGCAGGGTTTTTGAGTCTAGATGGTGGTAGACTGGCACGAGATTTTAATGCATACCTCTAATGTTGGTGAGGTTCACTTTGAGCGAAAGGGCGTGCTGTCGCTGTTGGGCCTTTTTTCTTTTTCCTTTTTCATAGCGTGAGCATTTGTTCGGTGGGAAAACGGAGGTAGAATGTACGATTTGGCTTCAGTACCGCTACTAGTAGACACTCACACACACCGTGCATCTTATGGGGAACTAGTTCGGAGACTGCGGGGACGCCCGAGCCCCCCCGGGAGTGCCCATCGGGCCCTTTCGTCCGGTCGCCAACCGGCACGATGGCGCGTCCCGGGATTTTTCGCGAGTTGGCGGGGCAGCCTTTCATGAGTGGCTAACCCATTACTTGAGCCCCCTACTAACTGCGGTCGGCCAGCGGTGAACCGTGCCTCGGATTCAAAAATTTCACAAAATTGCTTTTTATAATAAATTACTAAAGATCTTCTTAAAAGCGCATTACAAAGTCATATTAAAACTCTGGTGAGTAAAGGATACGAAATTAATTACAGAATCTAAAATTACTCGAATGAGTATAATGAAGACATGGTTGAGGATCATTGAAAAATGTAATATCTTGTCTTGAAATTCGTAACATGTAATTAATCATGTTCAAATTTTATTGGCAGCCACTGCTAGCCTGCTGCTACTTGCGTACTGACTCATTATCAACTGAACGGATGGTAAGAAAGTGCATCCAATCAATCAGTTTGAATCAAATGTGAATTTGTTTTTATTTGTACATAATTATCTTTAAATTTTACTCCCAGTCGGCTAACTAAAGTACTTATATTAATTCTTTTTAATCAATGTGCTGTGGATTACTTTTTTTTTGTATTCAAAAGAAGTTGGTTCGCAAAATCAGGTGAAAATTCCGCGTTCACAAAATATCCGCACCACCGCCGTTGCGCAATCAGCGACCAAACCCGCCTTTTTTCATCCGGCATTCCGTGATGTCGCTCAAACGGCACGGGAATTCCTCCGCGGCTAGTAATTCCACCGAGATTGTACCAGGAGAGCAGGCATGTAGATAATGTAATTACAGTGGCCTCGTTATCAGTACCTACAACTGTTGTTTTGGTCGCCAATAGAGATTTTTATGAGTGAGTTACATGGCCTGGTGGATGACATTATGATTTTTAAAAATGCTGGTAACAAAAAAGGGTTTCCCCTTTTTATTATATTATTATTTTTATTATTAAGTCCCTATTTTAATTCAGTCGGCTTATATTTGTCTTCATTAAAATAGTAATTAACATACAGAGCATATAATTCAATCCTAGATTAAAAATAAATAAATATAATTGTAATTGATAGGTAACTTGAATATTAATTAAAATATCATATAAAGTTCTGTTGGCATGTACACAAAGGGAAACATCGAATTAATTAAAGTTCCCACTTGTACGTTGTTTTCACTTATAATCCATATTTCATCAGGATATTTTCCTCGAACTATGTCATTTCCGACCTGTTTGTTCTACTACATTTTTGTAATGCTACGCATCTCGTTAAATAATTGAACAAGTACTATGCTACCTGTGCTGGTTTTAAAAACGCCACATTCATTTTAGTCATTATACTAGTATTCTGCCCGTACTTCGCTCACGTGGGCTAGACTTGAAGTTCAAATAGTGTTGGTTTAATTTTAATGTCCTTGGTCTATGTCTACTTGCTGCATTTCTTGACCTGACGTGATGAGCTTAGTAGAGCATACAACCAAACCGTGTGCATTTTATGATTTCTGAATGCTGTCATACTGTAAGGTGGAGGACACTTTTTGATGTGAAAAGTACATATAATATTTATACATAGATAATTAAGTGTGTAGCCCGTCTAATGGTAAGTAGTCACTATAGTCTGCAGGCGCTTAAAATACCAGAGTATATTGTAGGTATCGGCAAACTTCTTGAGCAAAATCACAGACAATCAACTTGCGCAGTAAACGTTTTCGTATGTTAAATTGCTATTGCGCAGGATTTCTTGCCTATGGTCGCTGATGTACTTGACATTTTACTTTTGACCTTACTAATCAATGAACATTTGTGTGGTTTGACTGCACTAGTTCCTTTGTGCACTCTTGATTATGATTCAATCGGATAATACGTACCATTAGTTAAGTGTATCACATAGTGATTGGTAGATTTCAATGAATTATAATGCGTCCGGGCTTTATACCTCTGCTTTCGAAATCAAGGAGGCTTTCGAGTTAATATTTTTAGCGGTGGAATCCGGTTAACCTTCATAATCGAAATCTGTACTTGCCTGCCACTGGCCCAAAGAGCTCTACGAACAATGCCTTTGCTATTTGCAGGCGTTTTAATATAAGAAATTCGTAGAATTCGGAGAACGATTTCCTCAACATTTCTTTGTAGAATACATTTAATACTTTTTAAGGTAACAACATACATCTTTTTTATTTTTATTAAGATCATAGAGATAACAAGTACATAATTATAGTGTAACATTTGAGTTTGTACCATTAACAACACCAGAGTCTTCGAAATTTAAAATACAATCTAGCAATAAAAAAAAATTACATTAAAATGAGAGTAGTTATTGAATCACATAGTTATAACTTACATAAACTTCAAGTTTATTTAAAGCTGTCTGCTTGATACTACGTGGTCTTTATTACTCGTTCATTCTACGAACAAACTTAACTACAAACTAATTAGCACAAATTAGTACAAACTGAGTAGCGTGCGCATGGTTGCACATAATTAAAAATAACGCTGTTTGCGACGCGCTGCGCTGCAAACAGAGAAATTCATTTAAAAGATTCATCCACTTTCTGCTGTTCAAGAATGTACTGTATTACATACATTTAATTATGTGATAATGTTATTCTTGATTTGCCTCTTCATAAATATAAAAAATAAATTGAGAATTGCTTACTTGAGAAAGGATATTATACTGTAAAACAAAATTTGAATGATAAAACGCCCTGGTTGTAGTTTTACCTGTAGATAATTTTTCAAAAGTTATATTAAAACTGGGGGCCTTAAAAAGAGTTTTGACGATAACCTTCATGTAACGAGTAACGAGTAAGCTGTAATTTGATTTGATTTGAGATATTGATCACGCCGACTAAGTATTTGCAAAAAAATTACTGCCCTATAGGAGATACTGGACTTCAACAATTTCTAGACAATTTCAGTATCTTATCAAAAAAACAATATGGATTCAGGTCAGGTAAAAGTACCGAAGATGCAGTTTTAGAACTTAAAGAATCAGTGATTATAGGCTTCGAAAAAAGTTTAAAACGCTAGGAATATTCCTCGACCTATCTAAAGCCTTTGATATGGTATCGATTCCTGTTCTTCTGCATAAACTTAACTTTATTGGTATAAGGGGGAAGACACTCCAGATTTTTGACAGTTATTTAACAAATAGAACGCAGTGTGTTGTCGTCAATGGTTCTACTAGTGATGATGAGTTCATTGAGTTTGGTGTTCCACAGGGAAGTGTTTTGGGTCCCACATTATTCTTAATCTACATCAATTATCGCTGTCGACATGATATACTTAGTACGTGTAAACAATGGTCAATCAAGGATTAAAGATATTAACGGGATTGTTATTTCGGCGAGAAAGCAGATGTCGAGGCTCATTTGGCAAATTTAAATGGAGTCAATACCAAAATGCGGTTCACATATGAAATGGAAGAAGACCGAAGTCTTTCCTTCCTTTCTGTAAAGATTCGGGTGCTGAATGACGGTTCGCTGAGTTATTCCATTCACCGCAAACCTACACACACAGACCGTTATCTCAACGCCTCCTCGCATCACCACCCTAAACATCTAAATTCTGTAGCCACTTCAATGACGAACCGTGCATATGACTAGTGTGACAAGGAACACCTGCACGAAGAGTTGGAGCATGTACGGCGGGTCTTACAGAATAATGGATACAAGGGAAAGTTTCCACCCAACACACAAATTAAGACACCAGAAACTCAAAGTAGACAGGCAACCACTATTTTTCCATAATGTCAAAGGAGTGACAGACAAGATCTCAAACATACTTAATAAGTACTCACTGAATACTGTCTTCACTCCTTTACAAAAAGTGTCACAGATTCTACGGTCTCCCAAAGATAACTTCTCCATGGAGAAGCCTGGTGTATACAAGATTGACTGTAGCTGTGGAGTTCGTATATTGGCCAAACGAAGCGGACAATAGCGTGCCGAATGAAAGAACACATAAGAGCAGTCAGAAATAATGATACGCAAAAATCAGCCATCGCGGAACATTTAATTGATACGGGTCCTAATCACTGGATTGAGCTCCATAATCCACATATTATCTCGATAGAACGCCACTACATACCAAGATTGATCAGGGAAGCGATTGAAATAACCAAACACAAGAATTTCAATCGTGAGGATAGGTTTAAATTGTCTAGTGTCTGGAATCCAGTGGTTCGTATGTGCAAAAATCGCAAAAATCAAAAAAGTGTCGTTCCGCGAACTGATACTGTGAGTATTGTCTGCCGGGAACTTTCTTTCTTTCTAACTTCATCAATTGTGTAACGTTTGCGTATTAAAAGTTATTGACCGTGAAGCTACAAGTTAAATGTTTATCAAAGTAAAGTACGATTTAAACTTTATGGCGGTTATGATGTTAGCAACTAGCGCAACTATGCGCAGGATTCAGCTCACTGACATTCCGCGTTTGCCCATATGCCCAAACGTTTCGTTTACTGCGTCGCAACTTGCTATAATTTCACGCCCTCCATTAAGTTTAAAACGCATCAGTACACGATACTTATAAAGGTAAAAGCTGATATGTAATTAATGTATTTAGTTCAACTTTAAACGTGTTTGTTTTGTTTCAGGCGGAGATATGGTCCGTGTTCATCGCGATTCTGCGCAAGAGCGTACGCAATTTGCAGGCGTGCACCGACGTGGGGCTAATACACCACGTGTTGCAGCGGTTGCCGCGCGCCGAGACCGTCGTGGCCGGTGAGTGTCGCCCACGCCCAACATGATATTGAACAACCTACAGGCGGGCCCCGCCGTGGGGTTATACTCTACGTGCTGCATACCGATGCAGCACGTATGTGGAGCACCGGCTCACCAACATTATTTTTATTGTAATTGCACGTTACAGCATCGACGCGGCGCGATGATCCGAAGTGGATCTTGGCCTTCGACGCAAGATGACGCCTTGCTCTGCGACATTTAGGTTAGATCTCACCAGCAGTCAGCATACAAAGACTGCGAGTCTTTCTAGACCTCGTCTCTCCAGCGGTATCTGGGACGTCCAATCAGTCATGGTCCTGTATGCCGTCCCAGATATGATCCTATAGATATGATATGATCCTCTCCCATTCTTTCTACATGTCCGAGCCAGCGAAGTCTAGCCGCTTTAATTTCTCCTATAAGTTAATCTGGTACACTAATATTTCTAACAACACTCATTTATACTGCCTCTTTCTTAGTAAAAACAATAATCAACGATTAGAAGTTGACGACCTCCATGGCGCGACTGTTATGTATGCCGGGTTCAAAGTCGCACATACTCAAAGGTCCCGGGTTCGAATCCCGGCTAGGCAAATGTTTGTATGATGAATAGGAAGGAGCATTTGTACCGAAATCGTGGATGTTAATATATATTTCTAGATAAATACATAAGTATTCTATCCGTTACCTAGTATTCCAATAATACAAGCTTTATATGGCTAGCCATAGACGGACTGCATGTTGCAGTCAAGACCGACTGCTCTAGAGCAGTCATGTTGAAGTCGTACACGACCGCATAATGCAGTCGACTACCACTGCTTGGAGCAGTTGTGTTCGACCGCAAAATAATACTGATGAGATTTCATTTACAAGATGGATTTCGATGAAGAAACACTGCTTCTTGTACTACTATTACGCAAGCGTAGGCGTAGAAGACACCATAGTATGTGGATTCGTCCAATACTGCAATCAGTATTATCAATTATTGTTATTATTATCAATCCTCAGTGGCGCGCGGTCGGCAACAACCGCTTGTAGCGGTCCGTTTATGGTGGGTCCGGCAGCTCTAAGCAGTTGACCGCACGGCGAAGCTCGACTGCAGAGCGATTGCTCCGACCGCTCAGGAACTGCTCGAGCGGTCCGTGTATTGCGGATATGAATTTAGTATGGAAACTGCTGACCGCATGTTCCAGTCGGTCTCGACTGCAACATGTGGTCCGTCTATGGTCTCGCTAATGACTTTAAACTTTCGGACTAGGCTAATTGGTGTGTGTTTAATAAAGATTGCAACTCAACAACACGTGTCTTAAATGAAAATTGATAACACAAGAAAAGCTCTCGTCAAGCACCACCTTATTTGTGTTATGCACCCTATAATTTTGTGATTTATCTTGTTAGAAAGGAGCGTATATTCCCCTTCCCTTAAGCCCCTTAGTGGGAGAGTGAATTAAACAAGATTTTGGAATAGCTTATCTCTATCTTGATCATGTACTCCTGGTATCTTTGAGAAAACTTTAAGAATTATTAAGAAATTATTTTCTCAAGGAGTTCGTTCTTATCTCACGATCACCAGGGAAGCATAAGTTACCAGGTAGCGCCTACGACCTTTTTTTCTATACGCAGCTGCTTTTAAACTGTGACTAGAGGTTTGCATAATACTACTTAATATCCTGTCTTAACGTTTAATATACCTACTATTTCTTCAAACATTTATGATAAATAGTGTGAAAAATCAAGTATTGATTGCCTAACCCAAACTAAGCTCACAAAAAGTTGTTATGGGGGCAGTTAAATTTATTATCTGTATCAACTTTTTCCCAAGTTTACCAGGGTTTCATGCAACAGTAGCAGATAGCAATGAAGCATGGTTGTTGGTGTTACACATACCTTTTTAGAAAAAAAAATGGGTGCGTGTACTTATGTAGGCGCGTGAGAAGTTATCCTTCTTTGGCATCGTTTAAAATTAGTTTTTAATTGCATGCAAATAATTAATTACAATAAATTAATAAAAAGTCTGGAAAAGGACACAGTCAATAAAGTTCAGTTTTAATTTGAAAAAATAAATAAATAATCAAAATATTCAATTAAAATCGCTACTGAATATAATTTATTAGAACATATGTGATTTGCACTTGTATGAAACTCAAACACGCATTCCGAATATACAAACTAGAAACATGTGGATAAATATTATAAATATGAATACCTATAACTGTTACTTTATTACAAAAAATAAAGATGTGGTTTTTGGTTCTACTACACCAATGGTCAAGAGATGGCGCTGTAGTCTCCTGAATCGCGCTTTGGTTCCGTTGTTCCAGATTAATAAATACTTTTGATAGGTCTTCACAATGCAGTCGTTAGCACCCACTAAATAGAGATTCTATTTCTATTTTGTTGGTAGATTTTCTTAATGTGCGGTAAACACAAAAGTAACAGTGTTAATTTTTGTGTTACAGTGATGCGCGCGCATCTTAAAATTTCACTCTCATCATTTTTTTATAACGCGCCTAAAGAAGTATAACTTCAAAAATTAAGACTAGGTAATTTTTGTCGTACTCCTACTGAAAGGTCCTTTACATAGCAAGTTCTTGACACATTATGTTTAACTGTTACTTAGATTTTGTTGTCTCAACCCTTTTTGATCTCGACTTCCTTGGTAAATGAGCCCTCTCTAGTCAAGACGCCTTCAGCAAAAATGATTCCATAAAATATTGTTTTAGGGACACGTGTGTCACGTGACGGACACGTTAGTGGAAAATTTCGAAGAAAACATGCACAAAAAAAAATTGTCGGATAATTTCCAATGATTTTTTCGTAATTCGTCATTTAAACGTCGGATGAGCTGAATTGTTTTATTCTTTTTGTACACCTGGAAAAGTTTCAGACAAACAAAAACCAGCAATTCTTTTAACTTTGTTTTGAACATTAACTTATGAAGTTATGTACAAAATTCTCATTTTCCTTTAATTTGTTTTCAAAGAAAATTTTACTAGATATATATTTCTTATGATATTTTGAAATACCTAAATTTTTTAAATGAAATGTTTTAAACGATCGAGGTTTCCTTTCAATTCGTATTTTACGAAAACACGAAAGGGTTAATTTATTCATACTCATCACTAGGGTATCATGGGTAGTCAAGATACCGAAAATCGTTAGAAAACTTCGGTTGGTACCCCTATCTGGTAGCAGGTAAACTAGGGGCGGAGCTAAACATGCAGTTTTTTGGGGCAAGAAAGGAATACAAAAAGATAAACTGCCGTTACCGTGTAGTTTTGGTAGCCTTAGGAAAGCTTATTGCATTTCTTGAGCATCTTGTTGTCTTTGTGAATCTCGAAAGGGAGCCCATATTTCATATCCTTTCAACCTCTGTAAGATCTATATTCCCTTGGTGTTCCTGAGAAAGTTAAACGTTCGTTATTCAGAAAGATCTACAAGGATCGTGGGAAAAATTTAAAGGGGATCGGATAGGTGCTGCGGCCCCGAAATAAAATCTCACGTCTATTAGGATACCAGAAAGTCAAAGAAAGTTTGATTTCAGCGGAAAGCAGACATTTGTTTGTATGTATATGGACTAGATTTTCCAGTATTTAATGGAACACAACTATTTATTTAAACGCAAACACTATATTAATTTGGGATATGAATAAATTGCTAGTCAGTATTATGACAGTATGGTTTTTAATATTCCGTAATTTATACTATTGAAAAATGTTTACTGTTTCTTTATATGGAATTCCGTCGTTTGTCTCTGAAGATCTTTTTATTTATATGGAACCATCTCGATAACAAAAACAGATTTAAGCTTAAAAAGGAGCATTAAAACCGGTCCTCATATTGCCAAATGCAGTAGATATGTAATTACATAAAAATACAAATACACAAATTGAGAACATTGTTCCTTTTTGAAGTTGGTTAAATGCTTATGATATATTTATGATCGCACAGCCGAATTACATAAAAAATGAAAACAAGAAAAAATCTTGCATCCGGTATCCTGTAAACCTCTCGTATCCTGTTCTAAGTACAAGTTATCCGCAGAAAGGCACACAAACCTTAAGGAAATAAACTTCATGCTAATTATATTTTCACGCGTGGGAGAGCAGTGAATAGCTTGTTATAAATATTAAGTCTGCTAAATATGCTCGTAATCCCGACATTCTGTATTTGAGTTTTTCTTCGCTGTAGAATGCATATAAAACGGTAATGTACGACCAAGGACTTCTTAATTACTCGTAAGAAAGTTCATAAAGAATATGTAAGAGCAGTTTTTGTTAAGGTTAATGCTTTGATAAGGTTTATTGGATTTGCGAATTTATTCCATTACCATTACCCATATACATTATAAAATTTGCATGAATATCGTCAATGCAAGGAAGTGTATCACCTGCGTCATTCTTGCACATAGCTAATATGTCACTATGCGACCCTGATACCTCCTTCCCGTAATTATCTGCCTTTTTCTTGTCGCTCACGAAACTACCCTGAAAACGAAAGTTTTATATATATATTTTATACAATGCTTTTCCTACAATGCATGGGTTTTTGTTTATTTCTTTATCACTGACGTCGAAACAGATATATAATTTTATAAAAATAAAAAATTGTGTGTGTCAGCTCCGACGCACGACCGCCGTTTACACTCTAAAAACGATTGTCTTTGAACAGACACAAAACAAAATCAAGTCCGAAGAACTCGGTTACAAGTAGAGATACCTCAGGAATCGTCCCATGATTTCGACTATCATAGGTTCCATGTCAAACATTTTATCATCTAACATCAGCGATATTCATCATATATTTTATTATGTATTTCTGGAAACACAGAATTTCAAAAATATCATACACTAGTCATCATTTTGTAAATATGTATTATATTTCCATCTGTACTGAAAATCACTATTCCAGAGTGCTGGACACTTACCGGCATTTCTCTATATTCTGTTATTTATTTGTTTTCATTAATTTTGCTCCGAGTTTATCTATTTTTAGTTTAT